TGACAAATAATAAAAACTATAATTTATAAATTGTAATGGCATTATGTTATTTTGATGGTACACTTATTAATCCACAAAAATTCTATTGTAATTTAATTTGATATCTATTGGAACAACATTATTTTTTCGTTATTACATTTTCTCATATTTATTAGTAAGTATTAAAACTTAGTTATATTTTTAATATTATGTATCAGATTTAATATTTTATTACTTTATATTGTTCTTTCATATGTTATATATATAATTAAGTATATAACTTTTTTTGGGTCTTATTATATCCATTATAGTTGTACATCTATATAATATATTATATATATAATTATAATTTTATCATTAATATTATACTCAAATATTTAAAAAAATATCTACATTTTTTTTAATAAAAACTTGTTTAGCTTATTCGGTCGTTGGCTGTATATTCGGCTGAATAGTTGTTATCTAGTCTCGTTTTGTTATTAATATAAGTCCTTTTTATCATTCTGTTTCAAAAAAAGATACGTGAGTAATGGTACTATATGAATATAATTTCTTGATAAAAATTTATTTATTTTCTGCGTATATAGACATATTATAGTTCTCTAGATATTTTGAATTAATTTTAAAGATAATGACCAATAAAAGTATATATAACTATTGTCTATCACCTAAAACTTACTCCTAGAATTAATAAGAACAAAAAATTAACAAGCGTTTAACAACTCAGCTCGTTTACATCAATAAGTTTTAAAAGTTTGATCTTTATTTTTATTAACCATAACATTTTATTTATTACTTTTTTTTTTCATATTTTTTAGTAAGTATTACAACTTAAGTGTATTTTAATATTATTTATCAAATTTAATATGTTTTTCCTTTATATTGTTATTTTATATGTTTTAATATATATATATATATATATATATATATATATATATTCCTTTATGATGTTTTTTTTCCTTAATATATTTGTTAGAAGAATATATAAAATTAAATATAGAACCTTTTGGGACAGTTGTCTTATTATAATCAATTAATTGTACATTTTTTATTTTATTATATATAATTAAATTTTTCTCATTAATATTATACTCAAATAAAAAAAATTAATTATGTACTTTTTTTTAATAAAAAATTACTTTATTAAAATAATACAGAAAAATAGATAGATAAGTAATGGTAATATATCGATATAATTATTGCTAAAATTAATTAATTTTCAACGTATATGTGCATATCATGATTTTCTAATTGTTTTTTAATTAATTTATAGATAATCATGTAATCTAAATTAAATCATGTTGCTCAAGCAGTATACATTTGAAATAAAAATAAAATCGTATGGGTTTTAGTATTATGGAATTTCATAAAAGTAGATTAGAAGTTTAGGCTGCAAAACAATCATTCAACAATTAATTTTCCATACTATTACATTGTTTTTATAGGTTATTTTGAGAAAAAATGTTTTTATAATTTATGGGTGTTGTGAGAAAAAAAATTATCGATTTTAATTTTTTTAGTTATAGTTATTAATAATAGATGAGTAATGATGATATATGATATAATTTATTGGTAAAAATTAATTAATTTTCAGCGTATAAGCATATCATGATTCTCTAGACATCTTAATTAATTCGTAGATAATTATATGATCAAACTTAAATCATGCTGCTCAAGCAATATCCCATTCGACTAAAAAATGGATTGGATTTTAGTATTATATAATTTCATAAAATTACAATAATCTTATTTTAAGTAAAAAAATTGAGTATTTTAGTGTTTAGGTTGCAAAATAATTATTCAACAATTTATTTCTCATACTATTACACAATTTTTTTTTTTTAATTTATTATGAAAAAAATATATTAACTTTTTATTTGACATATTTTTAATGTCAAATTAGTAATATACTAATACTTATTTAATATTTAATTAATTAAATACAATTACACAAACCAAATATTCTAGACTAAAGTGCAATTTCTATTCTAGTTTTAAATATAAGAGTTTATTTTCTTAAATAATGAAGTAGCTAAATGAAATTGTTCAACTTCGCTAGTTTGTAAGATAGTGTATAAAATTATATTAAAAACAAGGATTTTTTTAAAACAACAATTCTATATCTTTTCAAAATTTTGTTGTTTAGGTTGATGTTGGGTTGATTTTTGGGAGATATGTGGAAGAAAGCCGTTTCGTGATAAAGAATGGTGTGCGAATATTTTGTTTGATTTTTAGGAGATGTGAAATGTATTATTCTTGTATTTGTATTTAATAAATTAAGCATTAGTTATTAATTAAAAATATAAGATATGATGGGTATTAGTGTATTACTTTTTTGCCATTAAAAACATGTTAAAGTAAGGGTTTTTTAGGTAATTCATCTTTTTAATTAAAAATATAAATAAAATATGTATTAGTGTATTACTAATTTGCCATTAAAAATATGTCAAAGTAAGGTTATTTTAGGTAGTTCATATTTTTACAAAAACACTCGTCCTTTTAGAGTAGTATAGATATAGATATAGATATAGATAGATAGATAGATAGATAGATATAGATAGATAGATAGATAGATAGATATAGATAGATAGATATAGATATAGATATAGATAGATTATGAATTCACACAATATATTATATTTTATAGTATAAAATTTGAGTATAAAAGTATGTACATGATTGCAAGTAACAAGCCAAGAAATTAACCTCTGCTTAACTAGTTTTTTAAAACTTAAAATTATTTGGTCAAATTCTAAACTACTCCAACCATTTTCTTTTGACCCACTTGATCGTAACAAGCCAAGAAATTAACCTCTGCTTAACTAGTTTTTTAAAACTTAAAATTATTTGGTCAAATTCTAAACTACTCCAACCATTTTCTTTTGACCCACTTGATCAATTCCTTAGTCATACAACAAGAAAATACTCGTATTCAAGGATAAGTATCAACCAAAATCATTTTGTTTGAAAAAACTCAATGCATATTTGTATCTACCTTATACTTTCGCATAATGGTGGTAGATACAAAGTATCTATAATTCTTTAACAAATAGAACCATGCATTGAAAGCAAGAAATTAACTTGATGAGAGATCATCATTTCTTGAACAATGTCACATTGATTCATTTCATCAACATACAAATTACAAGCAACAAACAAACATATATCAGAAAACAAAAGCATTTCAACATTATTAATTTATTATACAACCTTAATCAAGAACAATCAAAACCTCGTGGCACTTTCTTCCCACACGAATTAACCGCCAGGCTCAAGGCAATCGGGACCTTATAAACTTTCGCAAACCCGAGCACGTTAGCCTTAATAATCTCTGTACAAAGGCACAATGTGGCTTCAAAATTGGCTAAGCCCTTCACAAGCTCACAACATTCATTTGTGTATAGTGTAGTTTGTGTTTGTAAACTGTTTTTTTGTTGTGGATTAATTAGTGACATATTCCATGAGATTGTTTAGAAATATGAAACAATTATCTTTCTATGCCCAAATTCTTGTATGGTAATTCTATCAAAAAGTAGTAAATCTGCTTAAAAACATATTCACAACACATTCAAAAACTAGGTAAACCAAAAAAATGTGAACGGATTTGTCTGGCTAATGTTCAGGGATGAATATATATATATATATATATATATATTTTCAGCTGATCGAGATATATTTAAAGTTATAAAAAATACTTAAATCTATATTTAGTTGATAATTAGTCACGTCACATCTACACATTAAGATCTAAAATAAGTATGAAATCCAGTAAAATCTGGTGCACTGTAACACTGGACATGCTTCTATTTACACAAAGGAAAGTGAAATGTAGTTCTTAAGAACAAAAGAAACGGTAAGAAATGTATCATCAAACAAAAACCTATAAAAAAAATATATAAAACGGTAAGAAATGTATCATCAAACACATATGAT